TTCATTTCGTGATGATATCTTTAATTTTCTATTTTTGGTGAATATTTTTGTAATTTTTGGTAAAAAGTGATATTTTTCGACTTCTTGTTAAAAACTGTAAGTCCGATTGCTTTGATACTATTCATATTGTTCATTTTCTAATGATGTCTTCAGTTCTTTAATTGAAATGTGCATTGCTAACAGCGGAGCTATCTCAGCCGATAGGCTGCTTGTTTAGTAACCGTGACACACCCAATCATGAATAATCAATAACATCATGAATAATTATCAGTCAAATGCCCGCAGATGTGTTCGGTCAGGATTTCTTTAGCGATCAGGTTAATTTTCGCGATCATACTAAAAGGACTAAATTATTTCTTTTTGTAAAACAACAAAGAAGTCACGACTACATCTCTCAGGATTTGTTCTTTTCTTGATAACTTCCATTATTTAATTTTGATGAATATTTTTTGTCATTTTTGGTGAAAAACGATATCGAATTCTTGGTGAAAATAGCAAGTCTGATTGCTTTGACATTATACATATTGTTCATTTTCTAATGATATCTTCAGTTCTTTAATTAAAATGTCCATTGCTAGCAGCGGAGCTATCTCGGCCAACAGGCTGCTTGTTCTGAAATAAAAATTATAAAATAATTACTTCCAGCCAAATTGACTCGTCTGATTAATTTAGATTCCAGCGACACCCGTTGAGATGCCCATGTCAGCGTATACAAGTTCGTTGGGTAATGTTGATGTCCAGTTTGGTGCTCTGGATGTGACGGATTTTATCAGTAACAATGATTCTGTGGCAACGTGTACAGGCAGTAGCTTGCTGTCTTCATCAACAGTAAGGTAAGCAATCTAGCTCTGTTAGGGGGACCTCTTAGCATCCCTAACTGCTTGCATAAAGTAATTTATATGTTGATTATCTTGGTGTTATCTTTTGCAGCAGTGTGAATGATGTCTCGTCAGGTACCAGTCATCTGTCAACATTCTCAAGTAAACCCAATGACACGTACGGTGGTTCTTTGATGAGCTCATCAATGATGTCCAGTGCTTCAGTTACGATGACCACCACGTCAGCGCCAATAGCATCCTCACTAGAACAGTCAGCAAGGACTACGTATAGCCAGTCAGCATCATCACAGAGTAAATCGGTTAGTACTTTGGAAGGAAGGAGAGAGTAGGTGGTGGTTGTGTTGCCTGATGAGATCTTGATATTTACTGATTTGTATAATGATGGTTCAGTGTAGCTCTGACAACTCAACAATCTACCACACCTAATCTATCATGTGCATGCGTGTCCAATCAATAATTGTAGTTTATTTTTGAAATCTTAACCAAAGTAAACATTTTCAGCTTTCAAGTTGAATTACATATTTTGATTACATTCAGTTACAGCCAGATCATATTTCACTGCCACAACAGACATCGTCACTCATGGGATCATCACAGAGAGCATCACAGTCCACAACAATGGATGGTAAGAACCATTTCTTGATCTGACTTCTGTTTTATAAATGCATGGTTAGAGTTCATGTTTAGTAACAAAAATTCTTGTGTATTCTTGTCTGGTTTAGATACTGACCGTTTAAAACTGTCACTTCAGTCTTTCTTTAAATGTTTGTGCTTTGACACATTAAATTATGGCACAGATGGGATGTTACTTAATGTAGTTAGTACAGAAGCCAATACTTAGATGTAGCTCTGTTCAAGATTGTTATCAATCTGATTAAAATCTGATGTAGTGTACAGGCTTTAATTATTTTGGCTATAAACTTATTTTAATTTAATTTTTTATTAGCTCCGCTGTCGACTTTGTCGAGCGGAGCTTATCATATGAGTGATTGTCCGTCG